AGCTGTCAGGGAATCTGCCCCCCTCAATCTACAGTCGTTTTTGAAGGCAAATGATACCAAATATTTCGACTGCATTCAAAATGGAGATGCAGATGGCTACACGAATCACACAGACAAAGGTTGTGTTCATGACAGAGAACTTGGCCTTATCGTTGACGTGTACTGGAGCGTACATGACAAAGAACAGTTCGAAACAGACCTCACAGCAACGGCAGGAATCTCACCTGAATGGCTTCGGTGGGATATGGACCCGGAATCATACCATGACAGTTCTACGGGGGACCAGGGAACCACTACCAATTACGGAAAGCCATGGTTGAAGACGGATTACACAATTGATAACCCTAAGGACATGATTTCAAAGCGACTGCCGAATATCACTGCATTCCATGAAAGCCTGGATTTCACGGCTGGGCTCGCCAACTACAGCTTATACTCAGGGGATACAAGTGATGTTGTGGATGGAGCGTCAACACTTGTTTTCATGGTATCATCAGCCGTGACGAGTATGTCCCGCGTTGAGGACATTGGAGAGGACTACGAGGAGCAGAAGATTATAAATGCCATTTTGTGGTTTGTGACAGCTGTTCTCTTCCTGATTCCTGGTCTTGAGGAGGGAGCGGAGGCCTTGGAACTTGGAACTCTGGCAGCCTCTCTGAGAATGATTGGAACCGCTGGCGATGTTGGAATGAGCGTATATGATGTTGTTAACATCAAAGAGAATGGTCCAGCTGCTGTACTCGGTATACTTCTGGCCGGTGCTGGGGCTCTTTCCATGATCAAGGCCCCAGCTGGATTTGCCAACGCGGCCAAAGCCCGAAGAGCGATTTCCGCGACGCATATTGACGCGTTGGGAACTGAAGTCAAGGGTGGAATGGCCCAAGTTGAAAAGTTGATACAACGGTGCTATTAGATAGGGAAGCTTAGTGGAAGGCGTAAAGATTTCGAGGCGATCTTTTGTACTTGGAATCCAGCACTACGGCGGACCTGTGCACTGTGAAAGATGTAGCTTTGCTGTTTATCTAGAATGCATGGAGCTATGGCTAGAATCATATTACTCTGCATACCACACTGAATGTCCCCAATGGTAAATAAAAATCCTTTTTAAACTCAGCGACGAGGAGTGCTGAGTTCATTTCATTTAGCCAACAGGATTTTGTGTTTAAAGCCCAGTATCGCCCTCCCAGGGGGAGTGGCGTGAGCGATGCCGCTGGTCCAAGGATTACACCACGCAGGCCGGGCGTCATTGGATTAATCAAAACCGCAGTCAAGAGCGGCATCTGCGCCAGCAATTGAACAGGCACATAGCACTGACGATATACCATCTCGCTCTTTACGCCGGTCGGCAAGGCTGGCAATGCATTCTGACCGGGCTCCACACGTCCTGTGCCGCTCGCAACGTCTGGCCGGGCTGACGGGCAATATATGGTCATGGACGGTAGGAGACCGTTCGGTACGTCTTGAGAGAACAGGATCTTGCTTTTTTTACATGAACTGGGCCTCCATAGATGTGGAAAAACTACTGGCAGAGCTTTAGACACCATTTCTATGGACCAGATTCTACGGAACGTTGCGCAGTACGTACTATAACACAGCTATGTAGCAACAAGATTTATCAACCTTGGCTTGAGCTGAATTGGGAGAAAGATGCTTTCTGAGGATATTTGTTCACGCGCTAGTTTTGATGGATCGCCGATGTTCTTTGTTTCTGCCACGATACAGTATGGGTGCGGTTATGAGACAGAGAGACTGATCATTCACTGATCCGAGTCCTGCCTGCCATCCCCCTAATCCAAGCTTTCCTGGGATGTGCCATGCTGAACAGCCATAAAGCATCTGGGGTACTACCATTGCACGGTATACATGCCGGAGGTTGACGGTCCCTGTGCCCCATGTTGAGGATGCGAGTGCTGGCAGAGCGGCGAGCCGCTTTGTTGCTCCCGCTTCTACCTTCTCGCGGTGGTGGTCTCAGCGAAGCTTGGTGTCCATTTGGATGCCCAAATAACGACATGACGTGGAGGCTTTAATAGTGGCGTGTGACAGGCGAAGAGCATGTGTACTGTTCTTTTTAGGATCTCTAGTGAAGTGGACCAGTTCATATTTTGCTAGTGCGGAATATCAGCTTCGTTCCCGGGAATAGACCCAGCGTTCCCAGAAGAAGATGCTGCGTTCCCAAAAATAGGCCGGTATTCAGGAAACCACATGGCAACCGATCGATTTTAGTCTATCCCAGCCTATTCCCAGCCACGCTTGGACAACAGCAAGATTATCGTTTTATGGTCAGTTCTTTCATAATGAATAAGCACGTGGAACCGAACAAGGATGAGAATCGCGAAGCCTCAGGCAGCAAGATTACTGGGAAGACCAGGACCGTGATTTGAATGAGCTTGTTCTAAACCGCGAACTTGAAAGTCTTTCTGACCCTAAGTAGACCTTTCGGCTACACGGTGGTGAGGACCTTGTGGTTCTCCGGAAGGCTGATTGGATATGGGTACTTGGCGGTTTGAAACTGCGACCCGAGCCTATTTTGGGAACATTCCCAGCTACGCAAGACTTTCGTTTTATGCTCCGTTCTTTACCTCCATGAATGTTATAGATATGTAGGAAGGTTAGTTTGAAAGATCATAGTCTCGCAATATAACGAGAACATATCAAACAGACCGTATCTCCAGATCAAGAAGTTAGAACCTAGAGCACTGTCACACAAATTATTAAAAGAACCTGAAGTTGATTGTTCTCGAGCTAAGAAAAAAAAGTTCCCTTAGTTTGGCAGCAAACCTATAAGTTTTCCAATTAATCTGTATCGATGTCCGATCCCGTATCTTCTTTAGCGTAGTAATTCCGTTGAGTACTGAGGCGATTAATCTCTTCTGCATACCTGCGAAGATGCATCTTATATAGCAGATCTTTATCACACATATAACACCTTCGGTCCTGCAAGTGCGTGTCTCGAAAGTGTCGTAGAGTCGACTTATACTCGCTATATTTCTGCGTCCTGCGATAAATAGGAAGTTCGGTGTTGCTATAATATTGAAAATATCGCCGAGGCTTCTTGGCCTTTTTGATATAGTTTTCAGCTTTCACAAGAAGTATATCCTACTGCGAAGGCTCCGGAGAGCTGCAAGTCTTCTTGGCTGGCTCTAGTAACACGTTAGTCTCTTCTTTATCGAACCCGTTACTTAGTACAGCCCGTTTACGTCGCCTACGTAATAGTCTACCTTCGAGGAAACAACAGTATCGCAAGATCGTAGCTACGGCAGTATTTCTTCTTTACTACTCCGCCTCTAGGGATTAAGAGGTAGGCTAAGTAAATAATTTCTCAAGAAGATTAATCTACTCCGGTAGTATCTAGTCTTCTACTTGAAGTACCTTCTTCGCCTCTTCGTTATCAACAGCAGCCCCCGAGAGCTATCGCTCAATATCTATTATAGCCTATTTCCGGTCGAACTTATAGCGGACCTTCCTCCTTAGTACTCTCTCTAACCGACTAAATATATTAGAGATTTCGCGATTCAATTTCTCTAAACGCGATTATATCATTATACTAGGATCGTATTTATACTTTTCGGCTTGCTCCCTCTTTCGCCGGGTAGCCTTGATATATTCTAGATATTCGCGAAGAGACGCTCGCTACGCTAAAGTAAGATATCGAGGGCGTCTCTTATCAATCCACCTACTTATACGGGTAATCGCGCGTATTAGCGACTTATTAGATTCGCGACCGTTTATAACGCTTTATATATCGATATCGATATAGCGTAGAAGATAATATTTCAAGAAAGTACGAGTGTTAGCGTGTTTTATAATTAGATTTTGCTATACTTCGCTAACCGCGTTGCTTTCGTTTAATATCTTCCCTCCTCCGTAGCGAAAACAATAAGCGAATATTAACTAGAGGAAGCCGTAGATCTCCCCTAGATTTCTTAGACGTCTAGATATAGCGCCCTTAGTTATCGGCTAGTTCTATTTAAGGACTAGGCGTCTATTAACTACCTCTGTCTTGTAGAAGATATAGTAGTTTTTAACTTCGCGTTTTAAGGATAGTTCTATCTATTAACAGTCGCCTTCGACGAATAGCTTTCTTAGACGCTCTATAGAGGAAAGCGTAGGGACTTCGAAGGCTTAAAGCTAAAAAAGTATACTAAAGATAAATATATAAGGGCTAAAGACAAGTGACGGATCGTTAATAATTTCAGGAAAAGGAAAATTATTACTAAGAATTAGTGTTAGTATTAGGATCTTTATTCCCCGAGTTCTATATATACTACGTATACTTATAAAGTTCTAAGGAATTTCTTCGTATACTCCGACTTAACCTCTGCTAAAAGCACGGGCAGGCCTCTATCCGGATTATATTAAATAGAAAAGGCTAGGTAGTAGAATTGTAGCGAAAGAAGAGTATAAAGCCGGTTTACGGTAAAAATACCGAGTATATTAAAGAGATAGAGCTAGATTCGTTCGTATCTAAAATAAAATCGCCTTTCCTAAGTTCGGAGGATCGTCTCGTTTAATTTAGTTAAGTCTTAGATATATATAGGCTCCTTGCCTCGTTCTTATTAATCAAGTTCGAATTTATCGATAAGTTTCCGGATACCCTAAACCTAGTTAGCTCTAAGTATCAATCTACGGGGAATAACTAACCGTATTAATCTCTTTGCTATCTTTAGCGGTAATCCTAGTCCGTATAATTCTCCGGTAGTATCCCCGAAATCCTTTCTAGTCAGCTTTCAGGGCGCTAGCTTTCGACGTTCCCTTTAGATATCGACCGCCTTTACTATATTTCAGCTTTATATAGTAGTTAAAAAATCGATACACGTTATTAGGGGTAACCTCGCGTAAGGCCTCCTCTAGGTTATCCTATTTCAAAAGCGTACCAGGTTAAGCAGCCTTTACTCGGTAGTACCTACGCCTCGGATCAGTAACCGCCTCTAGACTATAGAGATCTGAATCAATACTTACTTGTGCCAGCGCTTTTCTATTCGTCGACCCCGAACCTTGGTTTAGTCGGAGCGCCCGTAATCAAGCGGTATATCTGCAAGGTCCTCGTCGGTGTCGTTATCGGGATCATCACTGAAATCGGGCAAGACATCAGTGTCCGTCGAGCAGCGTACAGGCTGTGTTAGACAATTTAGCCGCCCGGTACGGTTATCGGGAAGACAGGTAGGTTCCGGGGTAGTCAGCCCGGTCGAATTTGAGGCGTCCCCAGAGTCGGAGTCGTCGGTGGCATCGAAGTCAGGCTCGAAAGACACTCCAGACGTGTCACTATCGATCGCGGAGGATAGATCAGCAACGTCGCTCATTTTGCCCTTAGAGAAACAAAAATGCGTGCAACAGCGCTCCGGGCAGTTAAGAGGGATGAAAGGAAAGGACGAGCGGCTATGCGGCACGGATTGAAGGAGAGACTGGCAAAGGATGAGCACCAGAAGAGACCTGGGTAGGAGGCTGAGGGGGTGCTGTTGGCAGCTTTATGGCAACGGGACCCCCATTTCCCCTCGACGAATGAGCCCGGCAGGGAGGGAGCCATTTTTGGCGACCTCACCATGTGGAGGGTCATGATAGCTCAGAGAGCAGGCAGGTCTAGAGGTGGGTCGAAGTCGATGGAAAGCACGAGCGGGGCGCGGACGCAGGGCCTGGCTGAACGAGGACGTGACAGTGCACGTTACGGGAGGGCGGTTGAGAGGCGCGTGGCTCTAGGGCAAGAATGCGTGCGCGGAAAGATGGTGCCGAGGAGGCCACTTTCGGCTCCTTTTGACGCCAGAACTGGCCGCCTCAGCACAAATGCTTTTTGTTTAGACGTACAACAACCATTTGTGCCGACGCGGCCGGATTCGGCGCCCGCCTCGATCGGGTTTGGCGGCCGCCCCATTGTGGCCCGTTCCGGTTTAGCCCGTCCTCGATGCGGGTTGGTGCCGCGCTAGCCCCAAGATAGCAATCCGACCTATCCCATCTACCTTGGGTTTAGCCCGTCCAGATACGGTCTAGCGGTCCACGCCTTCCCCGAATGGGCATCTGCCATCCTGCATCCTCTACTCCGTAACTGCGAGCGCATGAAAATATCCCGACAACGCAGCGAACTCAACCGCCGCGGCGCACTATTTTCCAATGTCTGCCTCCTCTAAACGCGAAGCATAAAAATACCCCAGCAACGCATCGAACTGAACCGCCACGGGCCACTCTTTTCCAAATCTGGCATAGAGTGGCGCATCTGGTCATTTGGTTCTCAAACCGCCATGTGCCTGGCCCCCTAGCACGGGAACCGCAAGAAAACTGACAGTCTCAAGGGAAGGAGGCTAACAATGTGTCGCGGCCGTGAAGACCGGCAAACGTGCCATTCCTTCCTCCGCCTTGTGGTGAACACGATCTATCGCGTTACTTCTATGGTGTAACCATGATAGTACGAGCAAAACAAATTTAAATGAATGTATACCAGCGCAACCTCTAGTAGACCTGGGCAATGTTTAGGCTAGGATAAGGTACAGACGCTTGATAAACAGTCTTAAAACATTTGAGTGGTGTTGGCGTATTAAGCGAGATATTTAGCTTCGATAGCACACGCTCTGGCTCAAACGGTGTAATACCAGTAGCAGCGAAGCTAGTCTGGATAGTCTGTGGTTTAAAGGCCTCAGCTCGCGCGCGAGGGTAGTCTGCGAGAAAGTCGAACTTATCGATGTGGTTATAGCCACATCGGGCGAGGTCGCTTACGAAATGACCGTACTCGATATAAACAGTTGTGGTTGTGTGCCGAGCGGGAGCTAACCCCGGACCGATGGCGGACCCACGGCCCGAACCCCTCCCACAAACACCCAGGAAAGCAACCTCAGTTTTTCAGTCGAAGGCTTCCAGCCACGGGTTCCGAGCGAGCCATACCCTGAATCACGCAAAAGAACGCGGAGCGGAGATGCCTTCGCACCATTATAATATTTGATATAGCCGCATGCACTCTGGCGAATGGGGATCAAGCGGAACCAACTAAAAAGGAATGAATTGATTGATTGTAGATAAAATGAGTGGCAGGCAGAGGTATGTTAAATACACATCTGCAGAGTTGGTTCATAGTTGATATGTGGATGGATGGATGGATGGTTTCATTGACGCTGACCCCTCGCTTTGGGCGATATGCAGCCTAGCACTATGGATTAAATACATGCTGTCTTCCACGAGACTGTACCACTTCTTAGACGAACTTGGAGCCTCGTCGGGGCCTGTCGTGGCCTATTCGCCATTATTGCTGTCTTGCCTTCATGGCACGCGGCTTCGAAATCGTTGGGACGCCTCCGCGAAGTCTAAGACAGCTTCTACCGTCTTGGCCCGTGGGGCATTATCAGGTCCACCTCTTCTTCCTTCTCCAGATCCTCCTACTAGCGTTGAGATGCAGTTAAACGCATCGCCGACCTTCTCCCGGAGCTCTCGGCGTAATTCTCTGAGTGCAGGGCAGTCCAGCAGAACATGTATTACGCTTTCCCGTTCGCCGCAGACGCATAGATCATCGTCGCGGAACCCAAAAGCCTTCGCATATGTTGATAGCCAGCAGTGTCCCGTTCGTAGTTGCGTCAGTAGATATGCTCGATTCCTTGGCAGAGATCCATAGAGCCGTCTCGTGTATTTAGCTGGTAATGAATTGTCGATCTTACGAAGGGGCCCGCCGTCTCTTGACTCTTTCCATTCTTTTTCCCATTGGGCGTAGATTCCTTGTCTGATGTGAGCCCGCTCGCGTGATAGCAAGGGGGGGAATGGATGGGTTTTGCCAGGCGTGGCTGCCTCTTTGGCCAGATGGTCTGCAGTGTCGTTCCCGAGTGAGTCGCAATGTCCGGGCGTCCATTGAAGCCGGACCGCGATGCCGTGAGACTTGGTGTTCCTGCCTGCTTGTAGAATAGCGTATATGATCTGCTGCCCGGATTTGTTTCCGGGGTTCCGGATTGCTTGTAGTGCTGACATACTATCGCTGAGGATGGTGGAGTGCTGAACCCGTGTACCAGTTGATCTCCGGCGTTGAAGGGCGATCTTGTTGATGAGGTTGATAGCATACAGGATACCGATCAGTTCAGCCGCATGTACCGACCATTGGTCCATAGGTCCGACTTGTATCTGTACCCTCTCGGTTATCTCCAGCTTGTCGTCGAGCACTACCGGCGCGGCGCCTAAGTGACCTTTGCGTCCTGATGCGTCGGAGTAGACGACGACGTCTGAGTTAGACCGTGCAGCGTCCGCTCGTGCCATTGCAATCTCTCTGTCCGGTTTAATCTCTATCTCTGAGAAGGCCTCAGTCCGCCACGGTGGCAGCGGAGTTGGGTCGATCAGTTCTAGCTCTTGGAGCCTTTCCAGGCTCATTGTCTTCAGGGCCTCCGCGAGCGGGAACCGGGCGCGCGAACGAACGTTATTCCGTCGTCTCTGGGCTCGAAGCAGGGTGTCCCATATGGGGTGTTTCCGTGGTAAGGTGTGGAGTCTGGTGATGGTGTTTTGCGCACGGTGGCGGAGACGAAGATGGGTAGGCAGTACATAGGCTTCAACGTCGAGCGTAGATGAGGCTACCGTTCGAAAGGCGGAGAGGACCCGGATGAGTGCAGTTCGCTGAACAGTACGTAGCTGTCGTAGATGGGTCTTATCTCGAAGTGGATCGTGCCAGACCGTTGACGCGTATTCAAGGACTGGTGCGACACACGCCTCGTATAGCTGTCGCATCTGCTCGGGCCGGAGTTGTCGTAGCCCTCCTAGCGCGATGTTGACCTTGGTGGCTCGCTTAACCACCTGCTGTACGTGGTCCTTCCATCGGAGTTCGTGATCGAAGACCACCCCTAGGAGTTTAGTGGTTGTTGATGGTGTGATGACATTGCTGTTCATGACGATCTGGCCTTGACATTGTTCTTTCCTGTTTCTGGTGAAGTGAATGAGTTCTGTTTTCTCTGCCGCGAAGCAGGACCCTGTCTTACGGGCCCACCCTTCGATCCGCGGTATATCTTCGGATTGGATTTTGGCTAGATTCTCCTCGGCGGTCCGGCCGACTCGCCAGCGGAAATAATCGTCTATATAGGCCGACGCACCGCCGTGGAAATCGACGGGCTGGTCGACTAGATCACTGTTGAAAAATGCGAAGAGGATAGGCGATAGGGGTGAGCCTTGTGCAAGTCCGCCATTGTCGAGCGCTGTTACCTCCGTGTGGTAGTCGTCAAACCCGATGTTGGCCTGTCGTCCGCTCATAAAGCTTGCAATCCATCTCCGGAGCACCGCGGGGATGCCTTTCGCTTTGAGTCGGGCGTCTAGACTTGTCTTGTTGACTCCATTGAAAGCTCCTTTAAGATCAAAGGCCACTAATGTGACAACCCTCTGCCCGAGCCAGGCTCGATCGATGGCGTTAGCTAGCACTAGTAAGGCCTGCTCGGTGGTACGTCCCGGCCGTCCTCCGAATTGGGTGTCTGGAAGGAGTCCGTAATGCTCTGCGAAGTAGGACAGCCGCCGGGCTATGACCGCCTCCAGCAGTTTGCCGAGCGTGTTAAGCAGTGAGATTGGGCGGTAGGCCCCCGGGAGCGAGTAGTCCGGTTTCCCGGGTTTCCGTAGTACGGCGATCTTAGCAGTTCTCCACCGTACAGGGTGATATCCCAGCACGATCGACGCCGCGAAGATCCGAGTGATGAGGTTTCCGAGATGTCTCCACAGGTGTTTCCATATCGACATCGGAAGACCGTCTTCTCCTGGTGCGGTCGAGCCTTTGGCTGATTTTAGAGATCGGTAGACCTCAATCTCTGAAATCGACTGCCATAGAAGTTCAGCTAGGGGCTGCGCGAGAGTTTCCTCTTGAGCAGGCGCCATAATAGGGAAGAACGAGTCCATAAATGCCTTTGCCTTCTCTTGGTTGTCGGTCACCTCCCGTTCACTAATTTTAAGGGCAGGGATACAACCCCAGGACTCTCGCGGCTTTAGGTATGTTGCTGCTTTCCATAGCTTTCCTTCGCCTGCTTCGTCCAGAAACCGTCTCCAGTGTAATGTCTTGGCTTTCTCAATTGTCCGCGTCCACGCACGTCGCTTCTCACGCATGTCTTCGAAGAGCACCATAGTGCAGGGGTCCTCCCGTCCTAGGTTTGCGCAGCTCATCTGCCATTTGCGTCGCGCCTGGTTCACGCCTCTTTGCTGAGATTTCAGATCGGGGGTGAACCACCGCTTTGCGTATGGGGATAGTCGCAGGTCCGGTGTATGATGGTCGACTACCCTTGCGGTTACTGTTGTGAGCTTTTCTACTGTGGCGTCTAGTGCCTCGATTGTGTCCGGAGTCTCCCAGGGTCCCATAAGTCTCCACACTTCCTGTCCAATTTTTCCCCAATCGGCTCGGTCGTAGGCTTTTCTTGCTTTCGCCGGGGAGTTACGCCGTGGTTTCAGGGACCATTCCGAATAGGTGGCTCTATGATCCGAGCCGTAGTTGTCGTGGTAGAGGTAGCATTTGACTAGCAGGTTAGGTTGGTCGGTCACAGTCTGGTCGATGGTGGAGTTCCTTCCTGGGTAGCTTAATGACCAGAAGGTCGCTGTGCCTCGGGGGAGACAGCCTTGAAGGCCGTAGGTGTTGAAAAAGTCGACTAATTCTCCGGCGTCCTCTATAAATCGAGGTTGGATGCGATTCCCTCCCCACGTCGGGTGGTGGCGGTTGAAATCTCCCGATAGTATTATGCTTGTCGTTCTCTGGTTGTCTTGGAGGGTATTTTGTATTGCTTCGTGCATGGCTGATAGAACTGGTCCCGCTGATGTTTCCCCCGGGGTGTGCATCGGTACGGGCTGGATATAGACTGAGAAGACTAATATCTGTGTGTCGGCCGTCCAGATCTTGATCGCTGTTAGATCCGGGTGGTCGCATGGCACTTGCCGATGGGAGGATGTTGAGAGCCTCCGATTCACGTAAATCAGGCTTCGGAATCGGATCGAGTCACTCTCCACCGTTGGTCGATATAGTCTCCACGCGCTGTGGTTAACGTATGTGTGGTATGTAGTGATGGATGGTTCCTGGATGAGCAGTACGTCCAGATCTTGGGTTTGGTGATCGTTGATAAGGGCTTCCATACCCGCTCTCGATTTCATAATGTTCAATTGTAGAATTCGGAGGTTGTTTTCTAGCATTGTGAGGATGGAGCGAGGGCGGGCGTTGGGCACAGCGGGTCTCCAGTTGCATGTTCACCACTGCAGTCCAGGCAGTGTGCTCTGATGCCTGGTGGGCATCGCGCTCGTTCATGCTGGCCGCCGCAGTGGCCGCACTTGGGGTCTTCTTTACACGACCATGCTAGGTGGCCGAACCCTTGGCAGCGGAAGCACCGTTTCTTTTTGATCTCGCATTTTTCTACCCTCCCGATGTGATGTTGGTTGATCAGAAGGCCTCTGGTAAGCAACCACTGCGCTGCCTCTTCGGAGTCAAACCAGATCCCTATTGAGGCGAAAGTCCCTAGTACTTTGTCCCTTCTCTTTAGCCAGGCGATGTCCTCAATTCGGAAACCACGATCCTGGAGGTCGTTCTCTTCCACGATCTTGCGGATAACTCTTTCTTTGTCTCGTTCGAGGTCCAGTCCCTGCGTTGGTACATAGTGGATAGCTACCCCAAATCGGGGTTTAACCAACCTTGTCCCATTGCCTAATTCGCGTAGCCATTCCGTGTTGTTGCGCGCCGTCTCAGCCGACTCTGGGTCTTTGAATCGGATTACATATCCAGTCTTGGTGGTACCAATTCCTGCCACTTGCACGTCTTGGGTTAAAGGGGCGTTTAACAAAGCGGTTCTGATGTGGGAGTTCGCTGCAGGGATCGGCAGGTATCGACCAAACTGGTTCCCGTTGCTTTCCGCATCAGCAGACTCAATGGGGGAGTGCTTGGTGGTAATTCGGACACAATTCTGGTCTTTGTCCGGGCGTTGGGGGCGCGGTAGAAGGTCCGCATTGTCCGCACTGGCTGCTACAGCGGCCCACGACCGGGCCGAAGGCGCCGGCAGCGGACTGTCGAGTTGTGCACGCAGCGCTTTGACTTCTTCATAGAGCTTCTGGTTCTGATCCTGGAGGGCATTCTGTTCGTGTTTGACCTCCTGTAACTCAGTTTTGGTTGACTCGATGAGCGTGGTTTGGCGGTGGATGATGTCCTTCAGCTCGTCGATGAGCTTCCACACCTCCCGGGTGGTGACCCTACCGGTGCTCTCTTCGGGTGCGTAGCTCTCATTGTGTCGACCTCTCTTTCTTGTGACTCGCGTTGGGACGTTGGTAACCCTAGGCTGGAAATCCTCGACTGAGAACTCGGTGGTCAGTTGGGTGTTTGTGGGTGAGGCCTCGGCAGGCCCCGCTGGTGGGTTCATTCTCGAAATCCTTGATATGTGGATGGGACCAATTCCTCCGTGTCTTAGAGGACCCATGGGATACTCGAAAGTGACTTCGTTGATATGTGGATGGGACCAATTCCTCCGTGTCTTAGAGGTCCCATGGGATACTCGAGAGTGACTTGTGAGTGTTGTCTCGGAACCCCGTAATTACATACAAAACACAAAGAAAAGTGGGGTACTGAGGAAACCAATAGGAGGCAGCTGTAAGTAAACTGCTCCACTATCCTCGACAGTTTCTGCTGTATCGCACGTATTCTGCATACTGGCTAGTTATATGTTTAATGGACCATCGTACTTCCTCGTCTTAGCGGCAGCGGTTCATATAGAGAGCGAATCAGTGCTCGCCGCTCAAGCGTCATGCCTGCCACATCCCGGAAGGCGTACTTTGGGATTCGCAGCTTATCTCTGTGCAGGACCTTGAGCGTCTTCAAGAAATCCGCCATGTCGACAGTGTACCACAGCTTGCCAATCTCAGCATGGTGCGAGCCCTTCCTTGCAACCTTTTCGCCAGAGTATTCGACGGTGTAAGTCATGTCGCCAAACCGGAAACCCCCAATCGACACCCGCATAATCGCGTAGTCCTCAAAGAGGTGGAATTCGAACAGCTTGTTGTGCTTCACGTATGTGAGGATGGCCAGGGACGAGTCGAGGTTGTGCTCTGATATCTGCCTATTCATCTCGACCACGCCCGCCGCCTTCTGGGCAGCCCTGATCGCGCCGACCACGAATACCACCATTGTTAATGAGCAAGGCTGTGTCTGCGAGTGCTGTGCGTCAGGGAAAAGTGTGTTACGGTTGTTTGAGGGTTTGCTGACAGAGGAAGAGGAAGAAAGGTACTCGATGTCGGATGGAGAAATCCCTTGAGGAACGAAGAGACTTGGCTTGACTTGATTTCCTAACCTACTCGGATTGGCCGCTCTTAGTCAGCAGCTATGCCCGGTCAGGTGGACTTTGCCAGACAGCCGACACGTGGCAGACTAGTTACACAATCGTGTGAGGTGGGCAAGCCAAACATGTTGTTGTTGGACCTGGGTCTAGGAAAGTTGAGGGAAAGAAAACAAAACATGTATTATCCTACCATAATCGAAACACAATATGGTTTCCATCTATTCCATTTCCCGCGCTCGAGAAACGCCCTCAACGGCTGTGTGATTTTGACCTCCAATAGATGCTCCACATTCAGGGCATCTAGCTTGCTCCATCGGCATACCGCACTCTCCAATTGCAAACTACAGAAAGAATCATTTAGCTTATTTCGCTCGTCAAAGGTAACTTGGGACAATTCGAGGAATGGGAAATTTATTCACCAGATGTCCGTTGACGCAATTGTACCAGTGCCCAGAGTGAGTCGCGATTCCTCCTCGCCCACTGACCATGGCCGTCTTGATTGATTGAAGTTCTTCTAAAGTGACTCTTTCGTATCGTGTTCCCTCATAGAGGCGGACCATCTCCTGGACCTTTTGTTGGAGCTCAGGACAGTTCCTCAGTTCGTCGCATAGTTTCAACGCAGCGGCGAGGAGATCGCGGGTGGTTTGAAAGCGATCTTCGAGCTTTTCTAGACCCGTTGTTTCTTTGAGATGTAGATCGCTTGTTGTTTCTCCTGGATGAGAGCGGTGATACCACGCGTCCAGCTGGGCGATTTTGGCGAACGAGACGGTCGCCGTAATGACGATGCGGGAGAAATTTCCTTCATTGGCTCGAGTTATCAAGCCTTGGCAATCCTTCAGAACTCGAATCAAGGTTGATGATGGTTTGGCGAGGCTTAGCCGTGGTAGTGTTGCAGAATTTCCGCTTGAATCTATCACTCTAAAGGCATCGCTAAGCATGACTTCCTTGGACTTGATGTAAATTAACCGTGCGCCGAGGGTAATTTGGTTGTCGGATTCTCGTGTTGTCATATTCATCGCCTCCATTCGGGCTGAGAGGGAGGCTACTTCGTCCCCTGATGACTTCTGGTAGATGGCAATCGCATCCATGAGCCGTTTCATCGGCTGATTCTCGACCTCCATGGCTTTGCTGAGAGCTAAAGCCTCCCTCGCGAGGCGTGCACAGACTGCATATCGTGCTTCAAGCTGTGATTTAGTGCCCCCCACCTCCACAGCGGCTCGCTTAGAGTTGAGCTTGTCTTCAATGTCATTCAGACGCGATTCAAGGCCTTCAAGGTCTGTGCGACCCTTGATAAGGAACCGTTTCCAAGTCTCATCCATAACGGCGCGGTTGATAACACGATTGTAACGTTTTGTCACAAACTGGCGAATTGGCTGCTTACAGTCCGGGCACGATGGTATGACATTGGCAAGCGAAGAAGAGACATCTCGGAGACCGTCGAATTTTCCATCTTTATCTCTCGTGTATACTTCATCCAGGCCAACCAATCCATCAACCGACTCACTGGTAAAGAAATGACCGCATCCAAGCACGACGATAGGAGTTTCATCGAAACTGATTTCGGAATAGGTTTTCCATTCAAGCAAGTCAACACGGGCGTCTCCCTTGTCGCCGCACTCTTGGCACAGATTATTTGGACAGTTTTCCCCGCAGAGGCTCGGGCATTGATGTCCGCATTTAAGAACCTTAGTGCATCGCTCATTGCAAGGAAGCCGGTCGCATATTGCCGCGCAAGGCATTGAGCAGGAGCCTTGGTGTTTGCAGGACCAGGTGCATCTCTCGATGCATGGTGCACATGCCTTTCCGCAGGTCAAGTCGCATGCTGAGTGCGAGCATCTAACCTATACATATGATTAATATTTCCGATACGATGACCAGATGATGGATTCTAGGGGCTCTTACTTCGCATTTTGCCTCGCAGTAACCACAGCTCTCCCCATCATGGCATATCTTGGAACACCTATGATTGCAGACGCCGTGGGGCCGGTCACAACTTTTCGTGCACTTCGGGTGCTTAAATACTCTTCTTCCATCGTTGACTTCGAGACAATTTCCGCAGCAACCGCTGCAGTTGTGGCCACAGCCGAGAATGTCGGTGCATGGCCTAGGGCAACGGAAGATCGAGGACGCTACATCTTTGAAACAGCCAACTCGAATTGTATGGCCACATTTTGGAACAAATTTTTCGACCTCGAGGTCGCATTTAATGACTTTCAAGTTAGGCATCTGATGGCAAAAGATAGCTTTCTTGATATGACCACAAGGAAGCTCCACGTCTTGAATCTTTGCCATGCAAGGACCACAATCTTCACCACAAAGCTTGGGACATTCGTGCTCACAGGTTGATCGGATGCGTGGGCAAGGTTTCCCACATGCAAAGCCATCGTGCATGACCGCTGAATGGCACTTGGCCTGGCATTGATGACCACATGGCTCGAGTCGACGGGTACACGGGAGACTGCACCCACCTTCAGGGCTCTTCCTCTCAAAGTCGTGGGGTTCATAACAGAGAATGGGCGTGTCCGGGTGGCGAGGACAGCAGAGAGCCAACTCTGTGCCGACTGCATTCGCACGGGAGAGCTGAGAGTGGACATCGGCCCACATTGGGACATTGAGGTATGTTTCAGTATTTCCAATGAGATACATGCCGTGCTGAGCTCGACTGAGGAGCACGTTGATGCGGTTTTCGGTGCGTAGGAAGCCAACCTTGCGCTTTGAGTTGCTGCGGACTAGGGAGACAACGATCACCTTTGCCTCCTCGCCTTGGAAGTTGTCGACGGTAGCAAGGCGGAGCGTCTGCAGCAACGTCTTCTTCTCGAGTGACTTGCGACCGTTTGATTCGGGATATTCATCAAACTTCTCAAGCCCATCCACGGCCAAAGTCTCCAAGTCCCGCTCGCTGAGACAAACTTCGAAATCATTGGATAGCGATGCTCTGAGCTTCCGCAGCTGCCCGGTATAGGGCGTCAAGAGGGCAACATCCGTGCTCTTGTACTCTCCCTGCCGAACAAGATGCCGAACAAGAGCAGTAGCCATATCGACCTCCCACTGGTTGCTATGAGACTTCACACGGCTGCCGTCATCCCTTGAATCTTCATCGCATCGATGGTCCAGCCAAAAGAGGTTGTTCCGCATTCCAACAACATTGGGCAGATCCACCACGCTTTCGTGATCCTCCAGTTTTGGATAGACGCTCCTGATAAGTTGCGAGATCTCAGGTCTCATTCGTCGCTGTACATTGAGTTGTGCAATAGGGGCTGGCTTGAGACCTGGCTCACCGACAGCGCGTCTCTCAAACTGGCTTCTGTCTAGCTGCCAAGTCTTTCCTGTGGATGTTTCAAGACTAAGTGAATGATTTTGAATCTGTGGTCGCAACTGTCGATGATCCCCAATCTGAATGAAGTGTTCAACTCCTGGCATGAGGGCTGAGATGACGTGGGCTTCCATCACCTCAGCTGCTTCCTCGCATATAATGACCTTTGTTCCTACTCGTCGCAGTGTCTCGATATGGCGTGCAAGGGCTGTGGTCGTGATTCCTACTACATCTGCTTGAATCAAGGCTCGGCGGTTGACCTCTTCATGAACTGCATTTATGTCCCCGCGAAGATTTGCAGCGCGATCAAGAGCCTCGAAAAGCGAAGCGGTTTCGATTTCCTGCCACTGCTTGAACCAGCTCAATGCAAGAATCCGGCGTTCCGTTATCGAGAGACTGTGAATATTTTCATTCGCAGAGCGAGTGAGGCCTTCCAAGCGCACATCGTCAACTTCACTCTCATTCTGGCCTTTTTGGGTTGTCATCGATTTGACTCCAAGCCAGCTTAGTAATTTATCATCAGTGACAGTTGTGAATCCTTCCGTGTCTGGTCGCTCCAGTTGTTTATGTACAATGGGCCATTTTCGGCGCAAAAAATGCTCCATCGCGGCCCAAGACAGGCCCTTTTGAGACTGGTGTAGAGGTTTCATTGCATATCCAGCGTTCTTCATGCAGTCCTCAAGTCTCCCATAGGACATGCCGAGGGTTTGCGACTCTACCCTCGTCTTCCCAATGCTTTGACTGACAACGCGAAGGTTCTTGCCTTCAAGCTCAGTGGCCTGACTGCGGCCACCAATGCGTATGATTTTCTGGATACCAACATCAAGAAGATGCTTTAAGAACTGGTCCAAGGCATGGTTGGTATAGCAGCTGTAATTCCTGTAAGTAAAGTACAAGAAGGCATGAAATCAGTACTCACATCACAAGAATTGGGCCTAGCTTTGCCTTTTCATTGATCTCAAGGAGAACTTGAACAAGCTTGACACCCAGGTAGGACTTTCCGGTGCCCGGTGGGCCTTGGATGAGGGCATACTCTCGTGTGAGAGCCGCGATAAGTCCCTGACACTGGCCGTGGTCGAGACCAGTCTGAGTTTGCAGCTTCAATAGGTCAATAGACCCAGGGGTACTCGGGTCCAATGCAATCTTTTCGGCTCCAACAATTGTGATCGAAGTCAAGGGAAAGACAAATCCTGGTTTGCGCGCGTATGCCGGTGGGGGTATGCTGGCATCTTCATCATCCTTACGGCCTGGCAAGATCCATTTTTGGAATGCCAACTCTCCTTCGCGTTGGATTCGCTGAAGGTTTTTCAGGATAGGGGCAAACGTGGCAGGGATCAAGCCATGGAAGTCGACCAGAATACCGGTAAGCTTCTTGCTGTAAAGCTGGGCGAGGAGCATCAGTTCTTGTTGTAGGCATGCCGCAAGCTTGACCGTAATACTAGGTGGAAACCTATCAGAAACAAGACTACTCTTGTTCTGGTGCGCTCGGTCCTTGGAAGCATTCTTGACAGTGACCTCGAGGAAAATAAGCCTCCTGTGAGTTTCTTGGGACGTCATGAAACACACTAGGCTTCCTTCCTCTAGTCGATTGGAGTCTTGCCACCATCTGCATTGCTCGTTGGATGTCTTTGTACGTACTTGTGGTGGAGTAGCAAAGGACACGGTCGCTTCGAGCTCCTTTCTCTCATTGATAAACATTTGGAGGACCTGTGCTCCCAGATAGAGATGTGCCCCGCTATCTTTGCTTGAGAAATATGAAAATCGTGTCAAATCATTCTGCTGCAGCAGATCTCGAAGGACATCTTTGGCTGAGCCGAAGATATCATGGCGCAGGAGTCGGAATGTTGAGTCAATGTATCTTTGCAAAGGATCGGGGAGAAAGTGCGGCTGAAGGAAGTTCGTAGAGGGTAGATATTCTGAATTGCCGCTGACAATCTCTCCATGGGTAGGAAGGATCTGAACTTGAGAGATTTCTGCAAGGTCGTTGTCGTGTCTCCCACCAGGTGTTTGCATATCCAGCGGAAAAGACGAAAGGGCTGATCTACTCTCCTGGGGATTTTCCTCATGCGGCCTGGGTGTAAAAAGACTGCGGTTTGCGCTAGCAATAAGGCTCTGCATGACTTCTAGTCTGCTTTCAAGTCCGTCAATGTCGGCCTTCGAGCATGTTTCAGTGATTTGGGAGCCCACTTCGCGAATTAGGTCGATCAGTGTGGGAATTTCATCGTGGAATCGAGCGCGTCGGACTCTTGACAAAAGTTGGTACAGGGTATTCAACAGTAACTTCATCATGTCCAGAGAGATGACTGGTACATTTTCGTTGGTCTCTTCGCCTTTACTCATCAGGCTCCGGCAGACACTTTTCAGATATCTGATTGCTCGATCTCCATTCGTTCCACCAAAGGATGTGTACAGAGTGCCAACAAATGAATCGACAGAAAGACAGTTCAAGAGAGAAGTATGGGTAATGACTTTAAGAAATGGCTCGTCGTAAGTTGGAATAGGTCGCACTCCCTCTGGATTGTCTGCATCCGCAGTTGCAATGATAAAATCATATCCATGAAGATTATCGTCCACAAGATCTTTGGCGAGGAATTGATGATTCTCTCTGCTGTCGCTTTCAAGAATTTCAAGAGCCCCGTTCCAGAATTGAACGATCTCTTCATGTTCCCTTCGAGAATATCCAGACCCTAAAATCCCATTTCTAAGAAGTCTCTTCCAGTCGAAGTATTGATTCCGAGCGTCCAGATCATGGGTTGTGGGATGGTATGCAGCCGGGTTTGACTTGAAGTCGGCAGCCTTATTCGCATCGTGCGAGAATCTGCACCTCTCACCGTAGTGGCACCTGCCACGTTGAAAGTGCACACAGAATGTTTCCGTCTGATTGCGCTTTCTGAAGCTGGTGGGTCCTCCTCCGTTGCTCATATTGCCCCGAGATCGCCAATTTCCGCGGTGAGTCATCGTGAAAGGAGACAGCTGTAGAATTTGTAGCTCTTGTGATTCTTAAAACAGCATAAATATTTCTAACGCGGAAGGTTGCACGGATGGATGGGTGGATGTGATTGTCCGGAGAAGGCAAAGATAATCTTGGATACGCCAAGCAGGTATCCTCTCTAATAAGAGGGACGTAAGTAAGACTGCCTTGTACTTTGTAAATCTGACGTGTCCTAACGTCTTGCAGGACAACTCATACCTGCATCACCCCTCTTTCCAAAATCTCTTTACGTGGGGGGGACCGGGGGGTTTTCCAATATTTGCCTTTTATCTCTGCTCGCTTTTTTAGTTCATAATTGTCAAAGGGGGTTGGATGGTTGGTGGGAGGTGCCAAAATCACGGGATAGATACCTGTCGTCCGTCGTCCGCGTAGTATTGGTGGGGAGGAGGGGGAGCAGAGTTCATCTGAGTCTTCGCGTCGTGGTTGGGTAAATAAAAACCCGTACGGTAAAGGATGATGATGGCTCGATTGGCTGACTGACCTAGAGTGATGGTTGTGATTGCTATCGGCAAGACATAACCCAATGCAGAATTGTTTGAGATTACTATACCCAATACTGCGCCCTAGCTCACCCCCAGACTGTCCGAGTTGGGTGCGGAGAAAGGATAGCATGGCCTTTCGTAGAGGCTTATCTTCCTGCAGCTTATGTCTTGGGCGTCTTGGGCTGCTATCTGTCTCGAGCTGGGGGCCTCTGATCGTGGGTCTTGAAACTGCAAAGGTCATGGGCTGAAATTGGTTATGCGCGATTCCAGCGACGCAAACATTCTTTGAAAGATAGGCGTTTTCGCCTGCTTATGTTAGAGCGGGAGAGGACTGCCCTTTTTATGTAGCCTTGTGTCACATGGATGAATAGCCGAGGCTTTCAATGAGGTTGTTCTGAACTGCGAACTGAAAGTATTCTTGAACGTCGGGAGTAGGCCCTTGATTATAGTTTAGTGGGGAACTTGTGGCTATCTGGAAAGCTGATTGGACACTTGTTTGGCGATTTGAAACCGCGAACCGACGAGGCCTTTGAGTTGCTTCAACTTTTCCGACGTCAACGCTCGTTGCTAATTACTGTGTATTGTGTAAAAGGCCACTAAGTCATAATATCCTGGTAAGACTGCTTCTCAAGTAAACAAAGGGGAACACTGAATATCCAGTCGATACAGTATTACGTACCTCAACATGCTTACTATTCTTCAGCGTAGGTCGCATTCATTAAGTCTCCAAAACACGACATTCATTATCATCTTGGCAGCAAGTAGAAGAAATCGTGCTGGTATGGCAATTTCGTGATAATTGTATAGGTGACACGGGGTTCAGAACATCCAACAATCAATTCACTCCTGGGAGCTTATTATCTATTCATGAGGTCCTTCGACCGGTACCCTGTGAGACTCTTTGTCCTCCTTTGCTTGTTCTTCTCTCCTTTTCATCAACCCCTGGCGAAATGCTTCAGTATACTCATCCGGGTCCCACGCCAAGACCCTGTCTTCCATCTCCTCAAGCTTCCTTATCACTAGCCGTTCCATCTCAGCCTTTTGGTCTTCACCCAGCAGGTTCAACCGCTCCTTCCATGCCTCGCTGGGATCGTCGGTCTCTGTAGGCCCAAAAAAACGCCGGTCGATCTTCTGCCAGTAGATCGCATCGAACGCAAAGCTGTGCAAAATCGCATACACTACCCAGAAGTCTCCGCTCTCCCAGCTCCGCTGCATCTGATCCGAGAGCCGCCGCTGGCTGTGCTGAGTGTCCATATCTTCACAACGCCTCATTGCCGCGAGGAACGTCTTTAGGCGGCGATCGAATTCTCGGGCCCAGTCCTCGATACCTTCAGACCAGTATTCAGGTTTCTCGATAAGCAGCCACCATGGTGGCGCGTATGAAAACTCTACCGGTCCTGCATATGTGAACTCCCAGTCCACCACACCGGCAATATGCATATTTTCATTGAGAAGAATATTGGCTGGCCGGAAATCATCACACCAGAGTTTGAATGGACCATTCTCGCAACATGGCAGAGACAATTTCTTGTCCCTGGCAAGCATGTAAAACAGCTGTCTTGCAACAAACTTCTGACGACAGTCATCTGCAGACTGCACCGCATCATTCCTTTGATACAGTAAATGCTGGATATTGAGCTGTGCAAGGGTTTCAATGTACGATGATGCTGTCTTAAAGGTGGCCTCTAGAGCAGGAAGTTTTGATCGAGGTAGTGTCCCCAAACGCACAAGCTCATTCATATTCATTGATAATGGCCGGCTGGTCACTTCCCAGGAAAAATCATCCACCTGGCCGAGGGACCCTATTTTGGGGAATTCTGACTTGGAAAGCTGAAGCAGGGTCTTTGCTAGTTGTGCGTATAACATTCCAAGTTGATCTTCATTAATGTTCGGGTCAAGGACTCCTCGCTCTTCATTTGGACACCCCGGTGTGTTGAGAGCGTCATACATGGTTGTTGTATGTTCGATATGGCTCATCATGATGAAAGGACTCAAGTTGAGGGGGCTCTCTTCCCTTGTACCCGAGTGGAGAATAAATGGAACTGGAATTGATGTCTGGTCCGAGATATATCGCATCACAGCAACTTCGTTCTTAACTTTCTCCTCGGGAAAAAGAATGGCGCCAGGCTGTGAAAAGCGGATGTTGGTTGCGCGGTATGTGTACTTCATTTGTAATGTGATATTGAAAGACCCCTTTCGAAGGATTGTAAACTCGGGATCGTCGCCAGAATCATGCTTTAGCATAAACTTCGCAATCGGTCTCTTGATGTCGATATCAAGAAACTGAAGCAACCAATTGTCGGAGACATCATCAGATTGTTCCCATGCAACATCGTCGTAAGGCATCTGGGGCTCCATGTCTTCAGACGCGTTGGCCGTTTCTCGTGGCGGGGCGATTTGTTTTGGGATAGGGTGGTAGTGACTGAAGAGGGGTCACAGGAATATGCAGTGAGATCCCTCAATCCGATCGAGTTGACGTTACTGCCAATAGAGAGAGACTGGCAGTATGTCTACAATCTAGAGATAAAGTGAAATGAGAGACCTATAGGCCATGAGAAATTCGGAAAAATCGCGTTGAAGGGGAAAAGGAGGGAAAAGCAACAATCAAAGGAAAAGTCACGTGATACATGACTGGGTCCAATCACAATCGCATAACCATCCCACCAATCGGACATTCACAATGGTGAAACTCGAGGCGCGGTGACTGGAACGATTATCAGCCAACAAAATACTGGTTGTTCCTGTTATCGCTCTTCATTGGTACCAATCTGTGGGACTCGGCGCCAGCAGGTCATGGACTGTCAAGACATTTAGTCATTAGCATCCGGGAGCCTATACGTGTCCACCACCACATTGGCACGGTGCTTCTTAATGCCAATCATAAGGATCATTGGCCTTGCAGCCCCTGAAGCGCTTACATAGTGTCACTGACTGGTCCAAATCCAGTCACTGCCCATAATGTCTCGTCGAACAAAAATTAGAGCGAAAGTCCAATAGGCCATGGCTACTCGTGTTCTAAATATAATCACACAGTTAATTGGACTGGGGGCGATGTCTCCATGACTTGAAAGGTGCCAAGCCTCTTCGTCGCCTTGTGCGTTAGCCGCGCGCTCTATGCGAAGCTTTGTTTATTGGTCGTGTTCTGTTTCAGCTTTTACAGCACTGTACTTGCTATGACACAGACCTTGGACACCTGCATCGCTTCTGAGGTATTAATACCAGACAGATTGCCAGCAATCTGCATTTTATCCAACATTCAAGAGACGAGCTATCCCCTATTTTCCACTCGTCAGCTCTTCTCATCAATCAAGCATCTGCGACTACTTCAGCTTTTGCTCTTTCACAAATCTCCGTTGATATTACTTCCTCAGCCGAGAAAAGTTGGACCTATGTTCTCCCTTCTCAAGGTATTTCAAAGCTCACCACTTTGCAGGTTCGCGCGACACCCACCAACCTATCAGCATGTCAGATTCAAAGCAGGCAGCTCGTGATGAGACCAACTACCGGCTGGGAGTCTCGTCCAAGGATTCAGAGATTCTTCAGAAAGCAGGTAGCGGGTCCGCTAAAAAAAGAGGGAAATCACACACACCAGGCGAAGTCAAGTTTCCCAGCCCAGATGAAGAGAGAACAATGGACAATGCTGGTAGAGAATCAGCCGACAAACGGAAGCATGCCACGGAGCAAATTGCCAAGCATTACAGAGACAGCTCCTGAGGATTTGAATGAGTTGATTTAGGGTAGCCCGGCAGATATTGAGTACCGGTTGCATTTTCCGATGTCTCTTTTTCTTAACCTTTGGGTCCGTCAACTGTAGGAAGGATGGTTATGTGTTTTGCAAGCTCATTTGCTCAATGTTTTGCGTCACATGGAAAACATGAAGAGCTGTTGAATGGGGTGGTTCTGAACTGCGAACTTGAAAGTATGCTTGAACTTCCTTCGGAGTAGGTCCTCGACCACAGGTTAATAGTGGGGAACTTGAAGTTCCCCGGAAGGCTGGTTGGACACGGTTGTTTGGCGGTTTAAAACTGCGACCCCATTAGCCTTTGAGTCGCTTCAGCTTTTCTAGCGTCAATACTTGTTGCTGGTTAAATAGCTACTTAACGTTAGTGAATTAGAACGCAGGTGAGTCATCAAATGCCGGGAAGACCGCCTTGAGATCCGTAGCCTTGAGAGTGGCTACGTTGCTCCTATGAACTTCGCGTTTGTCAGGTGACGTCCATTTCCAGTGCTGTAGGATTGCGGTGAGCCTTGTCAAAGGAATTTATCCGCCCACTGGAAAGGAGTGAGCTGGAATGGTCACGGAAAACAAGTTCTTTCAAGGGAAAATCAGCATCTCTTCGAGTACCATGGATTGTTCTTCAGTTATTTTCCTAAGCTAGAAGCGAGCTTCCCAAGGTGATCAATCTCGTCGATGCTCTCAAGTATAGTATTTAATGTAGCACCACTCTACATATTAATCAAGATGCCCACGTAGAGGAGGATGATAGAGTGACTTTTTGGCGATAACGTAGTTCCTGGCCGACCGGATCACCCAGCCGTCCGGATCACCCAAAACACCATACTAAACGCGGTTTTTTAAGTCATAATATATCAACAACGAGAAGATGTTCTTGCTTGATTCTACGCATGCTATGATCTCTTAGTGTAAGAATTAGTATGACTTAACTTATATATTCAGAAAATGATTATTTACCTACATTACTAATAATACGCTCCGATCGAGCGATGTGGATATATAGAGCGCATCGCGTGGTGGGAGCGTATTTTTGGTAAAACAAGTAAATAATTGTTTGCTGAAAATGTTAGGTGTGCTACACCATTTCTGATGATGTAGAATTATAGCATACTGAAAATCAAGTAAAACAAGCTTCTCGTTTATATCTCAACATCTGAAAGATCGGATTTAGTATGGTGTTTTGGGGTGATCCGGTCGGCCAGGAACTGCAGTGAGTTGATGCTTTTGAGCCAGCGGTCCACTAGCGAGCCAAAGCTCAAGCCACCTGGCTTACTAACCGCAGGAACTATTTTCCGTGTCACTCTGTCACCTGAATGAGATAAATACCTTCGAACTTCCCTCCTAGAGGCGACTTACAGAGAGTTGGTCCAGGATACCGGAAACCTCTTACTCTCCTCCTTTGCATTCCGGCCGTCTTACGGGACTAGAATGATTTGACAGATCGTGCGATTAAACATATTTTTTTTGTCAACGTACAAAATGGCATGCTCGATATCGCCCGTCGAAGCCCAGGACGTGGATTTGCTCGTGCGAAAAGTCGAATTTCCTGCACATCAAGATAACCTTCTCTATCGCTTGATGTTCCAGTGCTCAAAGGAGCGACAGTGGGAGCAAAGAGAAGACGAAATCAGATGGACGATTGATGGGCTTATTGAGACAGTTCATCAAGGGGATGAAGCTCTGTACAAGGCGTGCGGAGACGATGGATCACCTGTCGGACTAATAGGCTGGACTACTTGCCCAGGAACGTTCGCAAAGGGAGTGAAAAGCGAGGATTGCATTGGCAGTGGCCCGGTAGGCAAGTCTAGAGGGAGGCAAGGGGCAAAGTTGAAAATCCGGAACAGCTTTAACCCGCCCTCTTTGGATGTAACTTCGTGGCTTGGTATCTCAAAAAGGCTCAGAGAAGAGAGGCAAAGAGTTCTTCGGGCTTGCAAAGGCAATGGAATATGCCGTAAGCCATCAGTCAACTTGAGTTTTCCCGGGCCTTGCTGACCTTCTCCGTTAGGAATCACTTTCATGGCTGTGGATCCAAATCACCAACGTCAAGGTGTTGGATCTATGCTGATGAAGATTTTTTGTGATTATGTTGATGAAAATGCACTCGATGCCTTTGTTTTGTCGTCTCCTGCTGGTATACGACTATACTCCAAATTTGGATTCAGGGTAGTCGGTGTTGTTGAAACGAAGCATGGAAACTTTACTAGCATGCTAAGGACTTCAGGCCTTAGTCTCAGGGAAAACATCGAATTACCTTTGTGAATTTGTTAACAATAAAGCAAACTAGTTGATGCGGCTCCTGGATTCTTGTGGGCCTTATTTAAGGCAGCAAATATTGACAATCCACTTGCGTTATTGAAAAGGATCAGTAACAAAGATGGACTGTCAGGATTTAACAACACGAATTTCATGAGTGCCTATGTACAGAGTCAGGAACATCCATGGTCACTGAGATGATTTCCCTCGGTGTCCTTCCAGCAGTACTCTCTGCAATGGCACCTCTGGTCATTATCAGTGCTAAAAACCCAAACTGCTTCATCACATGATTAGATCGGAATTCCGAGGAGGTGACACCCTACATAGACATCAAATCGGAAGGCCTACGCGACATCCTGCGTGTGGTGCTGCATGACATCAAAGCTATTAGCCTCATGGAGGACAAGCCATCGGTAATTGAGACTGAGTAGAATCTCGAAGACAACGCTGACGTGGATTTAGATCGAGCAAAACGTCCTCTTCCATTTCCTCCCAGAGCTCGACAGATGTGCGGAGAACATAGACAATAGTTCGGACCATGACTCAGCACATGCGGAGCATCTCCGCCTGCTCATCGACCACCTCAAGCACGCATATGCTTCTATCTCGAAGCGTCTCGAATCGATGTTGCAGCATGGTCATGTTACATATGACCTTCTTTGGGCGCTTTTCAAGCCTGGTTGCCATGTTTATACCACATGCCTTGGCACAAAAGAGCCGCGATGTGTCAGATTCGACGCGGGGGAAGAGATGACCCAAAATGACGAGACGTGGTGGAATCTCGAGTGCCGATTCATTGATTATGACGGTGTCAAGTTCGGCGAGGCCGGAATATTTCTGCGTGTGGCAAAGTTCCGGGGGTCAAAGCCGATCGAGAGCCTTGAGGCCTTCCCTCTCCGACATCACCCAAATCACGAGCAAGTCCGGAAGGACTTGGTCAAGAGAGGCCAAACGTTTCGGGATTTGGCTGGTTCGCACACTCGGCACTGTAAAGGCAAAGGATTCTTCATGAACAAGGGAAAGACTGTCAAAGTCAACGTGAACAGTCGAGTGGCAGTGGACGCCGCATTTTTCCATGAAATGCAGCCAAACTACTCTCGACCGTCACTCCGCGACCTAGGAGCCAAAGACAAGGATGGAATCGCAGTTTTTGACATAGGTGCGATACTCATGGAGGACCGCGAGCGAGAGAAGGAGAAAATGCAAGGAGACGGTGTGGACGCAGAAAAACTGGGTGAGACCGATTTCTTGGTCGCCTGCCCAACAGTATGCTGTTTTAGTTTCAAGGAGAAAATGTTCTGTATGTGAAGGCGACTGACAATTGCTCGGAGTCCGACTAATTTGATTCCAGTGGAGTGCGCAGTCAGTGCTCTGAGGGACGTGGATTGGTCACCCGAATCGTTCGACTGCCTGCAAATCCCTTCAGAGAACAAGACACTCCTCTTGTCAATGGCGAAAACCCGCCTAGGTCTGATACCGACGGTACCATTCGATGACGTGATTGATGGAAAGGGCCAGGGACTCAACATCCTTCTGAAGTATGTCAGCAAGTGTCTATACTATACCGTGACTTGGAGCCTAACTCATGCTAGTGGCCCACCGGGTGTCGGAAAGACATTCACGGTTGAGGCAACCTCGGAGTATTTCAGGCTCCCCCTCTATTCGGTATGAGCCATTCGTCACGCTGACTGTGTGGCCCTACTTACTTTCCTAGATATCCGCAGGCGAACTTGTTGTCGACCATGGAGATTCTCATGCACTTGAATCACAGCTTGAGTTCATCTTTAAGATCGCAAAGCACTTCAAGGCTGTACTTCTTTTGGATGAAGCCGATGCGTTCATGGCAAGTCGCACAGAACTCCATGATAACCACAATCGACTGGTAACCATATTCTTGCGAAAGCTGGAATATTATCAGGGAATACTGTTCTTAACTTCGAACCGGGGTATCCAGTTTGACGATGCAATCTTGAGCCGGATCCATTTAACCATCGAGTACGAAAATTTGACGAAAGAGTTTCGCAAAGATCTCTGGTCGACTTTTCTGTCCAAGGCATGTACGATGCAAGGACCCGCGCTAGTTGAGGAGCACGACCTCCGACGGCTGGAGTCTCTAGCTCTGAATGGACGAGAGGTAGGTGACTGAGCGCTGCTCTGGACGGCTCTCTGCTGACAAATCGTGAACCAGATCAAAAACATCGCAGCAATTGCACACGCTCTCGCTGAGGCTGACGTCAACCAGGTGAACTACAAATTCTTGGAGTTAGCTGCGGAATCGAATAAGAAATTTTCGAAGGAGTTCGGTCAACAGGGGATGGTTGACGGGATGTATCTCTAGAAGCATACCTGGAGAAGTCATGTGGATAATTCCATTGCTCAATTCTGCGGGACACACTTTCAGACAAAGAGGTATCGAGGGTTTGCGGCGTAATGTTTTGCGTTATCTTCAAATGAACAGCTAGAAGTTTAAGGCACTGCCATATCGCAAATTTCCACGCTTTTCAAGCCGTGCTTAGGTTTCCTTGCTCCGACGCAACAGTTGCGCCGTGTATTGCCAGACGTGGGTTCAAGGGCCCGAGGGCGCTTCAACCATTTAACATCCTCCAAGTCAATGACAAACAAACGACCGCCCAGGTCATCCCACAACATATTGCGCCACTCGCTGTCGCTGTGGATAACTCCGCGCGACCGGAGCACGGCTAGTGCTTTCTCGCGCTCTCGGTGAAAGAAGCTGGAATTCCTATCATTGATGACATGCTGAAGCCGCATTCCAGACCAGCTCAAGACCATCATCTGGGCCATCAATTCGCTGTGGTACCAATATGCGATGCGAGGCTTAAAGACCCCCAGACAGACAGGGATGTGTTGCCCTTGCAAGTTCGCGAGATGGTGGTAATTGTCCACTTCCGCTTGAAGGCGATGCTGCTTCTCCACCGTCGTAGCTTTAATGATCACAGTGTACCCGCGTGAAAGGAATGCTTTTTGTTTAGAGCCATTGAACTTCAGAGTGTAAGTACGTCTCCGATGATTGCACCTCCTTAAGCAGCCAAAGTCTTAGATCCAGCGGTCGTTCACAAAACTTACACCCCAAGGGCGATTCAACCAATTAAGGTGAGCTATAGCCCTTCTTGCTTCTTGAAGTGGGAAGGGGCAAGGGGCCTCACGCTAAGAGTGCTGAAAGTCCAGCCAATCAAACCAATACTGGCCAAGGGCTCCCCGGACTGACTACGGACAATTGTCCTGAAACATGAATACTATTTGGCTGGTTTGCTTCTGGCTCATCTATGCACGGTCGGAGATACTTAGTTACAATGCTTTTAGCTTACAAAAATACATAGTAACCCTGTTGAATAATCAATTATAGTGCCGGGTCCTTCTCTGCAGACGGAATAGCTCGCGGGGTTCTTTCACATTACTGCAGAGAGCCCAGGTTGATAGTTCAAATGTTAGGCTTCACCATGATGGCTCACTCATTCACTCTGGCAATTACCTTGTTACTGTAAGAAGATCATACTTGTAGATAAGGATGAGGATATGACTGTCTCCACTGAAGGAGGTAGATCTCTCCGTGGGAAAGGAAGTTTGCGTGCCATTTCCGGTACACTGGAACGGCAGGGGCGGGGCTTTCGCTGAAAAAGCTGCAGATCCCTTCGGCTCCCGTTGCTGATCAAGATTTGGCAGAATGGAAAGAGGGTTGATTATGTGAGATTTGGCTGGCAAATTAAGTTTGCCCGTGAACGGGAGTCCGTCGATGCAGCAGAATTTGGTGGATACCTGGAGAAAGGAGATACTGTAAATCCGCCACGATTAGTCATGTCCTTGAGCCCATAACTAACGTAATTCACAAGCGAGTGGCCCACACAAGCGAGTGGCCCACCCTTCCCATTACAATATTTTGAAGGCGAATATATCAACAGAAATGCATTAATTAATATTAAACTAGCGATTTTTACATTGATTAATCTTATGCCCAATCGTTCCACATCCACTACACCTTGGCGGAGCCCTCCTGCGTGGCTGATCCTGCTGAGTAGGTAAATCGCCCTGCTCATGCGATACTACCTCATCAGCTTCTACTGGCTGAATTGGCTGCTGAGCCAGCTGTAGGCCCTCTTCGATCGATAGGCCCCCTTCGTGAGCGATCTGCCTAGTCGATCGAGTGCGCTTTTGACGTTTCTTTTCATTCGCTGCACGTAGATCGGCGTTCTCCTTCACTACTAGTGAAGTGTTATGCAGCGCAATTTCATAGCCCTTAAGAATCTGATCAACCACTAATTTCAACGGGCTTGGTGGGCTTTTTGACCGCTGATCTATTAGATCTCTCATCATTTTAGCCTGCTTTTGTAGCTGAACTACCGTTCTAGGCGTTTTCGGTGTGAATTGGCTAGATCTGCTGCTTGGTCGGCTTGATGGTGGTGAAGGCGTTCGAAGGGATATATTAAGCTTAGAAAGCACTCTTTCGGCACATACTGGTACGATACTAGTAGCTGCGAAGCTGCTTTGAACGATATTCGGCTGGAAAGCTTCTAGTCTTGCGCGAGGATAGTCTGCAAGAAAATCAAGCTTATCGATATGATTATAGCCAGTCCGCGCTAGATCGCTTACGAAGCGACCGTACGCGCGTTTAAGCACAGCAAAACACCCAACATCAAGCGGTTGTAGTAGATGCGACGAATGCGAAGGCATACAGAGCGGTATAATATCGTTTTCAGCGCAGATTCGATCGAATTGAGGTGTTAGGTGGCTACCATGCCCGTCGAGGATCAATAGCCGAAATCGCCCTCGTACGCGCGAATTAGTGCATAGAATAAAGAGATTTTGTAGCCAGCGTAGGCCAATTTCATCAGTAGTCCAGCCGTTATTCGATACCTCAATGCGCGAATTCGTAGGAAGATTTAACGATTCAAACCAACCAGCGATATAGACCTGGCCTTTGAATATAATACACGGCGGCAGCGAATAGCCATCAGCGCATATCGTTTCGATCGCAGTAACCCATTCGCGATTTCCTGGCTGTAGGATTGATCGCCGACCGTAGTATTCTGCTCGCGTTATAACCTTCTGCGCTGATATAAGGCCCATTGCGAATCCAGTTTCATCGAAGTTATAGATATCCTCTGGTTGAATCCCGTTCTCCTCGATTACGCGTTGCACCGTCAAAAACCACTCTTTTATAGCCTTTGGATCCTCGTTAAGAGCGCGCTGATAATCATATCGTCTAGAGAAACGTGTTCGAAGCTCATCACGTCGTTTAACAAAGTTTGATACCCAATTAACACCAACGGTCGGAGGAGGGGTTGTTCCACGCGCTGCAAGGAGGATATTGGCCATTTCTCGTACAGTAGCAGGCCTAGGCGCTGCTCCACGCGCATCCATAGAGAAGATCCACTGAATAAGCGAGTCCTCTTCTAGTTGGGTCAATTTATGCGAATTTGCGCGTGTATCGACGCGTGAGATTGTTCCATTCGCCCGCCGCGATAGCGTTCTGGGGGGGATATCGTATAGCTTCGCGGCTGCACGAATAGATGCGATACGGCCATTTTTAATATCATTAAGGGCTAACAAGATCTTGCCCTCCTGATTGGCCGGTTTTTGAGAAGATTCAGTGCGAATTGGTGGCATAGTAGGTGGTTGAATTAGGTAGGTAGGTAGGAATGAGCGATTTCAGGTGGGGTGGGCCACTCGCTTGTGTGGGCCACTCGCTTGTGTGGGCCACTCGCTTGTGAATTACGTTAACCTAACTAACTTAATTAACCTAACTAGTTAGTTAGTTAGTTAACTAGTTAGTTAAGTTAGTTAGTTATACCAATAGAGGCATAGCCGCAATTATCACGTGATGACCTGGGGTTCAATTGAGGTTCAACCCGGGTTCAATTAGCCATCCTGGGCAACCTGCCCAGTTCTTGGTAGTTCCTTGGGGCGCTCAAGGTATATAAGGATCTATTTTTGGAGGTGTATGGGGTCGCACTTGTAGACTTTGGTACGAGAGCCTTACGATTTAAATTCCATTCCCAAACTGGTTTTAAATATATATCTACCGCAGTGCCCTCAGTAGCTAACAGTGACAAACAGGTATGGGAACGACGGTTTTCTCTTAAAACGATAGTAATACCCAACATGGGCAGCAAAATAAGGCTACATAGTTTGCTTTCCAACTTTGCCTCCCTCCCAGCAAGACCTGCCCTGGGAGATGCCTCGGTGGTAAACCAAGAATATGACATACCAACGGATGAAGGTAAGCTAACTAGCTAGTCAACACCGCACGGACCTCCGCTGTCTGCCTCGTCCTCTGTCCGAATCGGCGACATGGCTGCTGATTGAATGTCTCGTTGGAGATGGCCAGCGCCTATAAGTCTAACATGAAGCACCTGGAGATGGGTACCATTGGCACCCGTCTCGGGGCTTCTTCGCTGTGTTATAGGGATCAGCAGCAATTTAGTTTTGTTAGTTATGGCTCTCTCACACGAGTAGCTGACTGCAGAGGAAGCGCTTGTACAGGACCAAGGGAGAGGGTCGATTGAGATGCTTCAGCTCTGCTCGGTCGAATATCAATGACGAACAGAAGTCTTGAGTAACAGTATCCCACCACAGTCTCTCATTATCAATCGGTGAGAGATTCTCGGTATACAGTAGACAAGAGTCTTCAAGGTCTGGCTGTGGTGCCGAATCACGGCTTCTATTTCGTGGGCATTGCAAATTGACAAGTTTTAAGTAGAGATGCTAGAAGTCCCGAAGGGAAAGTAAAAGGTAACAACCGACCCCAATTTGCCTTGTTCGGGTCAACCGCCGAATTGTCGCTACAGAGCTCGAAGGCACCGCAGCTGAGGCTTGTTTTGCAAGCGCGACAGCGCTTCTAAACTCGCAAGAGTTTACACGGTCGCGCGACTTCAAGGATCTCCACCCAGCCAAGTCAACAAAGCGTTTGGCGGCAGGCTTTTCTGCAAATATACGTTGGAGAGCGTCGGGCCTACCAGAGAGGGCAAAAATGCGGGGCGGGCCCACACGCGTGTTATGGCCTCGAGCGCGAACCCTTGCAGTCCAAACACCCGACGGGAGAAATCTGGTCGGTCGAACAGCTAATGCGGTGAAGCTAATTGAAAGTGTTTTCAAGCGCGTTTGGTTTGGATGCATTTTTGCAGTTCCACCTCAGTCGAATCACCTCAGTCGAATGCTGGATAGCTTCCCATTCGATGGCTTCTAGGGGAGACAATCGGTACAGACCATTTGAGTGTTTTCCAGCATAGGAACAGAAGCCATTCGTGGGCAACGAAAGGTGGACAAGATTTGTGATATCGGATTAGGTATCCCTCTTTACCTGACACGCTGGGTAGGAGGTAGGTACCCCAAGGCCACCAGGTAGTCAATTAGGACGACGACGAGTTATGATATAGGATGATTGATACGCACGCGCACGATCGAAGGAGACCAGGACTGAGGTGGTCAAAGGCCAAGTGAAGTTGATCCCCAGTGTCCTCCAAGAACTGCATTGTCGAGAGTTCTAATGTCCGATAAAAGATCCGCGGCCAACCCGACTGCCCGAAAGATGTGCACAGCGGTTGAACCGAGTAAGATGGACTGGGGCGTCAATTCTTAAGCGGCGGACGTGTAGAAAGTGACTGGTATTTTCAGACAAGATGGGTGTGGAGGAGATGGAGCTTGCGACAGCAAATGACAGAATAAGCGGAAGAGTATGATTTCCCACAGAACATGTTGAAACCAACACGGCATGAATGGCGAGCTGGGTCGAAGAAGATGCCAAGATATTAAACATTGTAGAAGGTTGGATAGTAATTTTGGAAAAGTTCAAACTTACTCGGCAAGTGTAACTATGGTCATCTATTGAATTCTGGTTACGGCTGTAGATTTGTGTTTCGTTCTGGAGACTAGTAGAGTAATTTGGCGAACGAAAGAATAACCCATCTAGTACCTATGGCACACAGCCCCCATAGCTGTCGGTGGATGACGCCATTCTTGCCTTGGAGCTAGGTGAATCTATCCCGCGAGCCTGTCAAATAATTGAAGGGTTCTATGACTTCTGGAATCTCAACCCAGTTGGTAAGATACATCCACCCCTCGAGTCTACCTGATAGCGTTTTGCCAAGGCAAGGAACATGCAATATTGTCGGTAGAACAGCTCCTGGCACACCACAAACAGACACTAACTCATCGTAGGGAACCATTCAGGATTGCGCAGCTTTACGACCACAGCCGCAGTCAGCCCCGAGGATCTCTTTCTGGATCTTCCAGAGCTTCCCATTCCTTCTCACGGTGCACTGGATGCGGGGGTTGATTGCGAGGAGCAAGGTCAACCATTGCCATGGCTGTCGATTGAGCCGTCGCCAATATATCATGGGCCAACCAGCAGCTTTCCCCTGACTATACACTGTCTTCTCTTCCCTAACTGCGAGGATTGCTTCTTTGTCGAATGGAGGGGACCCGATCTATTATCCCCGCTTACGTACAGCGAGGATGTGTTTGGTTTCCTTCGCTCCACACTCCCTGGCGGGCCAGTCCGTTGGCTTAGCACAAGACTGTCCATCACAAGTCGGTTTTCGGGCCAGACAGTAGTCGATCTTCCATTCACGATTTCACCGAGTAATTGGAGCGCCGACTCACTAAGCAGGTTTCAGCTACATGTCTACGATGCTCTATTACACTGGGTTTCCTATTGGTGTCGGGATGCTAGTTTCGATCAATTTGTGGTGCAATTAGCGATATGGCCGTGGCGAGACCGACAACAGAGAGGCGGAATCGAGCACATGGAAAAGAACTATTCAGAGATCTCTCCCCTTGATCCAGGGTTTTTTGTCCACAACATCATCAGCAATTTCTAAAACAAGAATCAACTCTGACTTGTTGCGATAACATGCATCGTATGTAGGGTAGCACCGAGGAAGCCGTATATTACGACTCCGCCATCCTTACGGCAGTATCCTACCATAGTTACCCAAGGAGGTGACCTTGTCTCCTTGTGCTTTATGAATTTCCTCAGTTGAACTTTACCCAGTTGAACAGACTATCTGGCACGAGTGCCGGCTCTTGGTGTTTAAACTGGTATTTACACTGCTGCAGCACCCTGGCCGATGCATTTCCGGCTCCTGTTGCCGTTCAAACAAGTTTCCAAAGATTTTTCATCTCAACTGGCGGGATGACTGTATAAAATTTTTCTGAGCTAGATTATACCATCTATGCCATCCATAAGCCGGCCTGTTCGCCAGACTAAATGCGATACAGGCTGAGGCACGAGTCGTGTGCTTTCCAGCACTCCATCATCGTGGGTCCCGATGGAGATAGATAAACGTCCCAATCACGAATAAAGTCACTGCCAAGTAGACACGGTTCCTTAACCTTCAGAATTTTTGGACCCGCGATGAATTGGCTTTCTGGAACAAGATTGTGGCTTCATGCGCGGTATGTACGCCTCAGAGAGAACCTCAGTATTGATGGTCTGATGGAACAAATCCTGTCAGGTATAGGAGGTCACACAATGTGCCCATGGTCTACGAAGATGCTGAGAGGGTAGGCCATGAGAACACATTGTTTAATGTGGCCCCGCGAACAACCGGAGTTTTGCGTTGTATACGCTGCCACCGCCGCCGATCTAAAGACTACCACTGGAAACACTGGCATAACCGCGTGCTAAACCCGGCGTCTGGTATCTGTTCAAGGAAGAGGACGAAGTGCGCTGAGATTCGGGCTCAGACCTACGCCGACAACCGTACAGTCGTCTATGAGCTTCCTGCGACACAGTCACGTACATGGAAATCGGACACATATGCGGCATGAATTATGCCTGGTACAGAATCAGAAGAGCATTAGCATTTTGGATAATTGGCCATCTTTTCCATTTAGCAGAACGTATTGCCACTGTAGCAAAGTGCAGATCGCATATTCCAGTTTGGGCAATGACAGTTTAGACAGAGTGTTAAGCGGCCCGTCATTCATTGCGGTGGCAGATACTGTCAAGCACCCTTGTTGACACTTGTTTTTTGAGGATGTAATGCAGCTGGTGGAACGGCTCGTGACAGCTTTTCTACCGTCAAACGGCTCCAGCTTCTGCACGTCGACAATCGCGCAGGTGTCTGGTATTTGCTATTTTTATTTAATCGCCTTACAAGCCCGCACATGAAGCACTCGCGATAACAAATAACTCCGACTTCAAAAGTGTCGCACGGGAGCCAAGTTGGCATGCCTCGAGGAACCAGAAACCACAGACGTTCACGACCCCGAGCTGCTACGATTACACAAAGCAAGCAACGCGAGATCGAGAGAGATGAGTACAGGTTCTTTACGTATCAGGAGTCTTGCTTCAAGTGTGTCGCGACTGTTCAACTGTCTGACCTATCCGTTAGGCGTAATGCGAGCCGGCTTATTGAAGATCGGCAGAATGTGGTGCGGCTGAAACGGACTTTGAGATCACAAGGATGTTACCGTATGAGCAAAGCTTTTCATGTGCCCGTTGTGATCGACGCGGTGGATTAGGATGCTGGACGAGTCTGGCTCGAGGCCTCCGCGTTGCGTCCTGATCTGCCATTTGATCAACTATGTAAAAGCCCAGACTACACACTGCTAGCTCTGGATCAAGAAAGTCTCATCACGGCGGCCAGAGCGAGATTCCAGGAGCTAGGTGAAGAAAATCCATGGTGGATAGTGGATGTGTATGTGACTACCTCAGGTCCGTCGACCGCAACGCTAACCCCACTGGCATGGTTGCTGACACAGATCAAGGTCACCCTGGATCTCTTGATCAGGAGCTTATTCGCACGCTTCGAGAAAATTTCCACAAAGAACGATTTCCCTGCGACGGGCGCATCTACCAAAGTATTCGTTTCTACCAAGGCGCGACTGGTGGGCGTCGTAATCAAATCGCCGAGAACTTCTGGTGGGCGGTCCTACAGAGCGAGCCTGGCAGCCGAAAAGCCGATTACCTGCGTGCACTTCCTCAACCCCTGGTGGACGGATTCGATGCACTTCTGCCCATAAAGGGCCTCTGGGCCGATATGAGTATTGGTGTCTTGCACAAGCTGAGAGCCATGCGATGTAACGAGGTGGTGCTACTCGTCTCTACCCAAGTTCGTGTCGTCGATGGAAAGATACTAATCCGATATGTGTATTTAGCCCATAATTTGTTACTTGAACTACATCCAGCGCGTTTTCTATAACCTGGTAGGAGGGCAGGTAGATCTCCTTTCCCAAATCGATGCGATGACGGTTCGCCTATTGCAGTCCCGAGCGCCTGGGGTCTCAGCCCAGGACTTGAATTTCCTCCGCCTGAAACAAAATAGACTCTTTAAGTACATCGACTGCCAACGAGACCGTGATGCAATCTGGCAGAGAATGGAGCGGATTCATCTCCCCATCCCGACACTGAAGACCTTCTTCCAGGATATCCTCTTCCTCGATGTCGGACAGAGCGTAATGCGCCAACTCTGTCGTAGCCCTTTAACGGCGACGCGATCAATTGACCAAGCTTTGGAAGAACAATACATTGTAGAATCAGGAGGACTCGGGTACAATCTGTCAAGAATTTCTGGAAGTCGGTTCCGGTCGGGACTCTGGAATCTTTGGCGATTCAGCCATCAGTTCGCTTTCGAGCTGACAACGCGGAAGGACCATCATCGCCGCGTGCCTCGGAAAATGGAGGATATAGAGCGTGCACAAGAATATGGGCTCCATGAAATCCCCATTGCAGAGATGGTTCCCTCTCTCCGATTCCACTTCTTCGGCCTAGCCCGTCTCCACGGGATTCATCCTTCGGTGTCTGTCGACGACACGGAGAGAGCTATATCTGAGATCCCCTTGCAGGTGCAATCCGATTTCCCGCCAGAGGAGGACCAAGATGTGGATCTGGAACGGCGCTGTGGTAAGCCTTTCACCGACTCTATTGAAGCCGACCGATACGCGCTCTCCTTCGAGTCGCTCGCACATCCTACTATCCAAGTACGTGTCAGCGCGGTTTCGGTGCGACAGTCCGTATTTAATGCCTTTTTTTCATATCTCCTTCCCCAAGAGACTATCAGTCAGGAGGGTAGCGGATTTTGGCGGGAATCTGATGCTGGTGTGACTGCGGGACCTGAATCTTTTAACCTAGCACCTGAAACTTACGAACAGGTGCATCCGTCTCCCGTTCGCCCACCTAGGACCCCCGCAAACTTTGAGCCCCTGCAGCCGAACTACAGCCCGATTTTGGGCGATCCTTTCTCTCATTCAGAACAGTTGCACTCTGTCCAGATCACGCACTTCAGATTCGAGATCCCAAGCTTCCGGGAGGGGGCTGTTTGGCTTCCCTATAATCGAGGCGCTCTAGACGCATTTTTCGAACATCTGAGTACATATGACTTCCATTTCTATTTTTTTCCAGATGAGGAGAGACCCCTGTCACGCCAAGGAGATAGGACGCTCAGTCATTAGGAATGTGCTTCTCATTACATGTTATTTCCTTTCTCGACTATACGCGCCGTTTACTGTCGAGGATGTCTTCTTCACCCTATTTATTCAATTGGACATGCAATGACAGGCCAACGGGGTACCAGGGGAGTGATAGCTAACAATATAGAAACGTTGGTTGAGGGAGCGATTGAACTTGTCCAGAGTGCTCAAGCAGGCGCCTTTAAATATAATGGAATTTGAGAAGCAAAGCCTAATGCTAGGTCACCGTTCCACACAAAGGGATTGCCCAATGATTTTTGGGAATCGGCCGTGGTAGTTCCAAACTGAATCAGATAGTAAGTGGTTAAGAGCCGTACATAGCTCAGGTGAATCCTACGTCCTGCTTTATTCGGGGTAAGCACCTCCCTAGATTCGTGGTCAACATAGGGTCTTGGAGACGATGTGTCTAGTGCAAGTATTTGTATAGTGGCGGTCCGTTAGTATCCAAACCCTAGTACTTCACCAACTTTCTTGCGGGATTTTCTACCTTACTAAATGCACCCAATTTCGATCAAATTTTTCCTTAATTTAGTGCACTAGCTTCCATTCTTAATCCTCTTCTCTAGTGACTTTAAGGGGCATTTGTGTTGTTAATAAATATGCCCAGATCAGTGTAAAGCATCGCAGGGTAGTGCGAAAGGTAGGCGGTGTAGACCAGGTGGTCAGGAGGTACAGGGGTACAAAGACTTGTGGTCAGACATTGTCAAATATGTATTCTGGTACCGGATACGAGTCAGGGATACCGTGGTACGTGACGGGACGCGTTAAGAATCCTTTGAGAAACGTGATATCTCGGGAGGAGTTAGTTCTAAACGCTTGCTTTCATGGCCGCTGTGATATGCGCTATACATGGCATGCTTTCGGACTCTAGTGTTTCGGCAGTTCCGATAACATAGCCTGTGCAAGATCACAATACAACCGGCAAAGATGCTTGCTCCTAGTATACTGCCGAAAATCGCCGCCAGGCTTTGTTTCGAGGGCCGTCGCGACACACCGCTCCAATCCAACTCAGTAGTGGGGGTTGAGAAAACAAAACTTGTCGTAGATGATAAGGAGCTGATGATAACAAGTGTTGTAGATGATTGCGGACCTGAGGCGCCCTGTGTTGTGTCCTCTTGCAGCGCATTTTGACTTTCTACCTGCACATGAGAGAAGTGACCAGGTTGGATACCGCCCTCGGCAGACGTGCGGATGAGAGAAGCCTGTGCACGTTCAGTTGGTTCTAAGTCGCCGATAATGTTGTCACTCGGAGGATTATTGCTTCCTGTCGTTGCTGGTAGAACACGCTCGATGCCAAAGTCGACTTGTGAAGTTAAAGTGAGAAGGTCGTCGGGGAGAGAGCCTGGGGATTTCTGGTTCGTTTCGAGTGTGACTAGGCTTTGAGTTAGGGGGTCGGTAGAGGGCGTTGCGCCGAGGGGACTTGGGTCCGGAGGGCTGGTCGCAATAGATTCCTGGTCTTGGGTGTTGTTGAACTCCGTTGTGCTTAGCAGACCTTCTGGTGATGTTGTTGACGGAGTGAAGTCAGACCCACTACCCGAAGGATTTTCTGAAGGTGCCTCTTCAGTCTCCCTCGTGTTCGGAAGTATCTTGACTTGTATCAGCCACCGTTCCGAGGAGGGCTAGTAGAGCAAGTCGTATGAGCCGCAAGAAAATTACCTGATCAGATACAAGCCTGGAGCTTAGATGGGTGCACGAGAGCCGTGCGAAGTATGCTTGCAGTGTCCGCGACGATGCCTTCTCGGAGGCTAGCCGATGGTATGAAGTTGATACACTAGTAAAGACTAGCCCCTGAGGAGGAGTCGGTACAGAGGTCATTGTATGATATTATCCATAAAGTCTTTCGATAAACCCTTTACTGTTGCAGGAAGTAGTGGGTCCTCGACGATGGATAGGCAACGTCGATCCAAATGGCACAATTTTGGATTTATACTCCTCCCAACATTTCTCTCATGGATGCTCGGATCCTCATAAAACACTTCCATGGATAGAGACTCGTGAAACAGTGAAAAGAAAGGATTTAGCTCAGCCATCAAGAAAGCAAAGGGGGTACGTGCAAGAATGCCGCTTCTATAGTGGCACGAGTCGGCTCGCATTTTATTTAATATTCGCCCCTCCACCCATCCTCTAAGCCCTAGTGAACCGTGGGTTTCGGATTCTGATATGCGACTGGAGTAAGAAATACCATGTCCTATGCCGCTGACTCACTCGGTGACCCACCCCCTTACATCAGGCACGGTTCGTCCATAGTTTCCCTTTCAGGTGTACTTTCTCATCTAATTATTACAGACTGGATAAGTGCACTCAATTTTTGGTCAACTTGTGAATCTTGGTCCATTTCAAAGAAGCTGAGGGAGGACTGGCGTTTTTACAAAGCGGTCTTGAAGACCGCGGACTGGAAGTCGGTCAAAAGCGCGATACAAGCACGCAATGACCTCACCAAGGCTTTTCACCAAGCCAGATATTTACGATATCAGGTTGAAAAAGGAACGCTGGACAAGAGAGAGGCGGATCGGAGGGTGAAATCTGTCTTTGGACAATTTGCCGAATCAATGAACAAAGTGGAGCTTTGGACAGGTGAAGGATAATCTGGCCCAAATGAATACACACTGTGGGCTGACCAAGTGTAGATTATCGTTTTACGGCTGCGGCAAACTCTGTCGACAAGAGATGGGTGTCAGAATAGTCGTATTGAGAACCGTGAGCAAGATGAAATAAGAGCGAATGCGCTTGGACGAATCTGTGTCTAGGTCACCTGAACATCCAGATTATTGGCCAGATGTGAAGGTGGATAAACGGCTCTAACAGCCCCTATTACCGGCCGATATTACAAGTATATTACTATAGAAGAAAGTTTCGTAGGAAATGGTGTTTGATAATACATGAACCGACCAATGCTAAGCTGATTTTTCGCCTTCTCAATCCGAGAGGTGGTATTTTGCCACTAAAAACCAGCTGATTCAACAAGCACCCACCACCGTGTGTTTTTTGCGGTAAATTGAATGGATTATGATTACAGTCATGCTGTGGTACCAAGCCATATCCGTAGGCCCTGAGGCGATGAGTTGTCAACAGCGATCTCCTAGTTCGTTAATGCTGGGAAATTTTGTTGGGACCAGCACGGGAGAGGATCACAACATTCTTTTGCCCAGGTGTGAAGCAGTACCAAAGCGATTCTGAATGACTTGGATTGCGCTCTGATAACCAGGTCCTGTTTCAACCCTTCTAGGATACACTCCGCTGCCACCGGAATTGCACTTATCACCGACTTGTACTTGGGGAACCGCTGTGCAATTCTACCGAGTACCTGTTCTTGGGTAATGTGTGTCGATTGATCAATCTGTTCGGCAAGATAATGATGGAATTGTTGAACACACTCTGTGAAAGAGGATTTAATCGCCCTGCGAGCTATTGTCATCGTTCCATGGTCGGCAGCTTGCGCCTGCCGTGCAATTGATCGAATCCCTCTCCTAGCTACTTTGCGAAGTAGGCCATACGCTGGCTTCTTGCAAATGAGTACGATATTCCGAGGCTTTGGTGTGAGTTTTGCCTCCCAGTTCAGTTTAAGGTGCCGGTACCTGAGCGAATGAATGGCACGTCGCGGAAATCGGTGGAGTGGTAGAATTCTCATCGGACTGTGAGGCTGATTGGTAAACTTTAGCTCGTCATAGGTTTCACGCCACTCGAGGCTCAACAAGGCACGATGGTGACGAGTTACAAATTGGTATATATAGAGCTGACGGATAGTGTTTGTCTTCTAACAATCAAGATGGACGGTAGATAGTTATAATATTGTGACAGGATATCCCGGTCTACCATGTGAAACTACGGAAATAAGAGTTGCAGTTATGTGCGTCCATCCGTACTTGGGGCGAATGTCGTTAATTAAAAGGGACGGAAGCGGGGCTTGGTTGTTATTGGGATTGTTGATTCACTGGAACTAGGCACACCGTACCCAGCATTTTCTTGATAAACCCTTAGCACATGTTGATCAATCGAATTATGTTTTCATGCGTAGCTCTGCGCTGAATGATCACCGGTCGTATTTTCATCGAGGGCGCATAATAACAACGTCTAAGCGTTCCGCATCTAGTTGGAATGTGGTACCTTCAATTTGAGGCCGTGCTGGATCAAATGCAATAAGATACAGTTCGAGCTCAGAAGCCCCAAGTAAATTAGGATATGAAGACTGTAGCAAATGTTGAAAGTTACAGTAGGCATGCGTTTTCTTGATGGACTGGCGCCTAGTGTTTGTCCGGATCGATTTGGAACTGCGGCACCTTCAAGGGTACCATTAAAGTGGGGATTTTTGACAGCACCTTGGGTTTTCTCATTTGTCTGCTAGAACTACCATCCTTTGGCAACCATCGGCATATCTCAGGGATAAAGCGGAGCGTTGACGCATCGTTCGCCTAGTTGCGCTCTTAAGCCGCTGTTGGCATTCGGCCTGAATCTGCAAATTAGAACAGCCCAGTTTCCCCTTAGGACAAACAACTCGGTTATTGCTTTCCCGGAAGCTGCGTACTATCATTGCAAATGGCCGACCGGGCGCCCCAAGTGCCGGCTATACGACACTCGATATTTGAAGTGCCATGGCCAATGGTGGATTTGGAGGTTACCCGACAACTTGAGGACGCAGATTTATCGAGTGACAACGACGGCTTTCCTAGCGCCCGCCATTGTAGAAAGGTGTCATTGAAGGACAGCCCAGTATCCTGGAAAATTTTCTCAAAGCATGAAGATACCGGGGCTATCACCATGCAACTCCTGCGGGAGAGCTGGAATATGTTCAAGGGTCTAGGTCTCCGGGACTGGGCTGATGATGTGTTGGGTATGCCGTCGACCAAGATGAAGATCTTCAGGCTATATTACAGCAGACTAGCATTTTCGCTGTTTTCTTTCCTTCGTCAAGTTCCTGATGAGATCACCACATACGATTCTATAGTATCGGTAGGAACACACACTCTGTCTTGGACCCGCCCAGA